GGCCGTGCGTGGCCGCGGTGGCTGAGCCGCCCGGGGAGGGTCTCGCCGGGAGCGAGTACGTAACTCCTGAACGCTTCCCTTTCCTTCTTTTGGAAGGCTGAATAACCCGTTCTTGCCTCAGACGAACAGGCTGCAGCCAAAGATGTCCCCGTCTGCGATATCAGGTAGGTGCAAGCGTTCCCTGTTTTGTGCGGTTTTAATCACTTGGTGCCAGTCATTTGCAAAATAGCCCACCTTGACTTTATGCAGACAAAGACTAATTTTAGTTTTGATTTTATGAGCATCATGGAAAACAATCGTGGACAAATATATTTTATTGTGCTTCTGAAGGACTGAAACCTAGATGAACTGCCCTGCTGTTCCACGGCCCAGTGCTGGTTGGACTGCTTTTGCCACAGCACTGTCCATGTGTTTTATTCTGTATTTTTCTGAGCCAATCACCGATCCTCTGACCCTTACTAAAAGCTTTTTTCTTCTTGAAGCAAGCCTTGATGTCCTTGAGGTTGTCATAGAAAGTCATCCTATCATCTGATACTACTTAATATTCAAAATTTGTTTATAAAAAAGTCCAAGAGTAGTCTTGGAACAAGCTACAGAGGCTCAGTTTCACACACAAAGCCTCAGTGCTGCAATATAAATCCATCACTTTAGCAAAATAAAGAAAAGTCTAAAAAGATGTATGGAGGAGAGTAGATAAACACTGAATGCGAAGAGTAAGCAAAATGAAGTAGCTCTTGTCTGTTGAGCATAGGCACAGATTTAAATCTTGTTCAATAAAGGCATTGAACATGATTGTGCTTAATGTCTTCTGCCATGTTTTATAAACCCAAATCAAATGTATAAATTCTGCATGTACTGCATGTGAAAAGTGAAATAGTTACAAATAGGATTAGTAGTAGTTAGAAGGCTGAATGGAAATGTGCCAGAAGTAGCAGGAAAAACGTTAAAAAGACAATACACTAGAAGTTCTTCTTTCCTGGATGTAGGAGCTTATATGTAGCCAAAAATCATGCCTATGGAAGTGGAAGCCAGGGCATGGAACGCAGTCTTGCACAATTCTTTCTTTATCATGGAAACCTTTTTTTTTTTTTAAAAAAAAAAATGGCGCTGGGGGTAATAGTTCCTATAATTTCTCTTTTAAAGCATCTGCCCAGGGAATGGACACAAGTTTACTGCATTCCTCAAGGACATTCAAATTTGCTTTTCTTGCTGCGTGGGAATAGCGTGCTGATCACTAAGGCACAGACTGTGTGTAGTAGGCCAAGCCTATGATAATCTGTAGAATGAAATGCAAGATCATACAATCGAAAAAAAAAAAAATCACATGCTGGTATCCCTGTGGTTAGAGCATTCTGGAGTGCATGACTGTGGTGGTCTGATCTTTGTTTCTAGTATTTCTTGTCTTCATCTTTGGAAAAAGTACATAGGCAATCCTGGCAGGGGGAAATTAGAATCCATGTGTTCTTATTATTTTCTTCACTTTGTAATCAATTTGTGATCTCTCTTCTTTCCTCACAAATGCTTTATCATTCTGTTCAAAATTACCTTAGACAAGGGACACTGGAATACTGTGTCAGGTGGTGGTCTCCCCAGTTCAAGAGAGACAGGGAACTACTGGAGAGAGCCTGGCGGAGGGCAGCCCAGACGACTGGGGGGCTGGCGCATCTCTCTTATGAGGAAAGGCTGGGATTGCTGGGACTCTTTAGCCTGGAGAAAAGAAGGTTGAGGGGAGACCTTATCAGTGTCTATAAATATCTAAAGGATGGGTGCAGGGAGGATGGAGCCAGACTTTTCAGCAGTGCCCAATGATAGGACAAGGGGCAATGGGCACAAGCTGGAACACAGGAAGTTTCATCTAAGTATGAGAAAGAACTTCTTTGCTGTGGGGGTGACAGAGCACTGGAACGGGCTGCCCAGGGAGGCTGTGGAGTCCTGCTCTTTGGAGACTTTCAAAACCTGCCTGGGTGCAATCCTGCGCTAGGCAATCCTGCTTTAGCAGGGAAGTTGGACTAGGTGATATCTAGAGGTCCCTTCCAACTCCGAAAATTCTGTGATTCTGTGAAATACCTCCGTAGCATATAGTTCAGAACTTCTGGCCTTTTTTATTTTTTTTTGAATGACAAGTTAACCTGTCTTGAATTCCTTTGACAGCAAGACTGGAATGGTCACTTCAACAAGACTAGAATTGCAACTGTCGATGACAGTAAAAAGTTTATCTTTTTGAATACTAACTGGATCAGGCTGTGAAGGCGAACCAGGAATAGGAATCTCAGTGGATCTCAAATATGCAGCACTGTTGGCATTCTGAGCAAATAAGCTTTACTAGTGTAAAGTTGAGGAGTTTGGATGACTTTGAGGACAGACAGCTGCCAAGCAAGATTTCTAGTGATTTCAGTGTTAGATTTCGGCAACTGATGATTCCTTTTATGGACCTGGCCTCCAGCTGTTTGTATATAGGTTTCTTATTTCTTTCACAGAGATTTATCTATTTCACCGAGTATTGAGATGAAAAATGTTAGAGATCATGATGCAAACCAATATAGCACTAGTGGGAACTTGGAGCAATACATATGGAGGGTACAACTTTCCTTATGTACAGCAGAAAACTAAATTTGTCACGCAGTCCTTGCAGTTTTGTCACCATGGTAACTTGCTTAAATTTAATGAAAACATTATTCTTCCTTGATGTCATTTTATGGTGTTTTTAGGCCCTGCACATCTCTTCAGGCTTGCTGGCAAGTGTTTCAGTTTTGTGGAATCCACGTGAGTAATGGATTTGGTTATTTTATTCAGTATGTTTATTAGGAATAAACTAGCTTTTTGTTTCAGTCTGAAATATTTCTTGCTTTCTTTTTCTTTTTTCTCCTTTTAAGGTACAAGTATGAGTTTTGTCCTTTCCATAATGTCACTCAGCACGAGCAGACTTTTCGATGGAATGCCTATAGTGGGATTTTAGGGTGAGGTTTTTAGACGTTTAAGTTTTACGTCTGTTGTTAGCAGACCATTTTATAGATTGTCAAAACGGAGTGAGTTTTAAAACTAAGATTCTTTTGTTGGTCAGCCTAGGCCGTTGCAGTTCCCAAGGTTTTATTCCTAAAAATACCCTGCCTTGAAAAATTCGGATTTTTTTGTTGATAAATACTAACCTCCCGTTTTAGCTGGAGGCTGATTAATAACTAGTGCCAACTGCAGGTGTGTGATAAATTCATTTAAGAAATTCAATAATGGATAACTACAGCTTACATTAACAAATATTTCATATCTGTTACCTATTTTCACTCTGAGTTGAATATAACCTTACAGAATGAAATGAGTGCTTTATGCCTAGTAGTTGTGTTATATTTAATAAAAGGTGATGAAATACTTGGTATAGACCCCCTAAAAAAGCATCCAAAAGTATTCAGAGACCCTGGAGTATCCAAATTGTAAGACTAAATAAATTTAAGTATAAACCATAGCACCGCTGTAAAATTAATGCCTTTTTAAATATTCTGTATATAGATACCATTTTTTTCCTATGTGCACAATAGTTAGTGAGCCAATATGAGAGAAAAAGGGTACACCAAGATGCTGAGAGTGCCATTGGCTTTAGCACTAGCAGAAGCAGAGATGAGTTTTTGTAGGTGCCCTCACCAGCACCAAAAATCTGAGTTGCACAGGGTACTTAGCATCGTGGAATTTGTTACGCAGTTGATCTATAAACTGTATTTTATTTGATTTAAACACAGATTTGTAAGTGCAGATGGTTTGCAAACTGAAAGCTGATCCAAAACCGTGCTCTTAAAGTAATGGTGATGTGCCCTACATAGAAGCCTGAATAACAGATTACACTGTTTGTTTGTAAGGTCTTGGCTGTAAGTCATGGAAATACTAAGACAACGTAAATGAAGTATATACAGTTAAATTGAACAAGTGTATTCCTATTTTTCTTCCTGAGTGTTCACCTTTTTCTTTTCAGTAACTTAAAATGAAACTGTGTTCTGTTTTTTTTAGAATCTGGCATGAATGGGAGATTGACAACAACACATTTGTTGGAATGTGGATGAGGGAAGGTGATTCTTGTGAAACTAAGAACAGAGAGACAAAGGTGTGATAACCTAGTCTATGCTAATCAGGCAGCGTGATGCTCGTCACATTCTCATGACACTCTACGTTCCTACAATGTTCCTAAAACATTCCTACCTGGAAGATGTCATCATTTAAGATGTAATATAAAACATAAAGATGACTTCCTGTAGGAGCTAGATGAATGGATGGAGAGAGCATGCAAGGAGAATTAAGGAAGGAATCAAATATACGGGAGTGGCAGAGGAACCAGCTCAAGAGAAGCAGATTCTGGTGTGAGCACATTTTAAAGAAAAAGCAAAAACTCCTATGGAGTGGTTGAGCAGTCTTTGTGCTAAGTGACTGTTCAACTAGAAGGGTAAGGAAGAATGTTTGAGACTTGCCCAGTGTGTGCCACGTGATTTGCACACATCGATTAAATGATCTCTAAGGTCCCTTCCAGCCTAGGCCATTCTATGATTCTGTGATCCTTTATCCTTTCATTCATCGACATTTTTCGTTTCCCACCTCCCATTTCGGTGTGTTATACAATTTTACAGATATAATGCATTAAACCTCACATTGCCTGGTGATGTAGATTGCTATTGTGAAAAGATACTATGTAGTTTGTAACAGGCTCCTTTTCCAATAGAAGATGTTTAGCTATTACAATGATGGGTGACAATACAATACTTAAGGGAGAGGGATATATAGTTGGAGTAATAACTACATGAAGATGGGATAAGGGACAAAATTTCTTGGCCAAGGTGAAAATATTCTGTACTGTAATGGAGATATCTTGTTAACGTTTTTATCTCCTGCAGGAGCCACAGAAAGAATTACTATTCCTGAATGACCTCTGATGTTGTGATTCATATCTTTTGCAAGCATTTAGTTTTGCATAGACAGAAAATACTGGTGCTGCAAGTTTAAAGATGAAAACAAATTTCTACAGGCTAGATGTGTATTGGTCTCTTTATTTAGCGCATCGGTCAGAACTGAAACTTAAGTGAATCATTCTTATATCAAATGAGGTTCTAAAGGGTGTCCTATTCACCCTCCTTTTTACTCTCATTCTTGCTGAAAATGTGGTGCGTGGGAGTTAAAGGAATAGTAATAGGTGAGGGAATCGTTTCGCACTAGAGGAAGCAATTTTCACATATAAAATAATTTGAAGATGTGCTTGCTACAATTATTTTTCTGTGAGTGACAGCACTGGAAGCTTTGACATGACAGTATGTACAGAAATGCATTTTTTGTGTGTGCGGAGGTGTTTCACTCATCTTTGGGTTTACTGTTTAGGTTCATCTTGTTTGTGGAAAGAGCCATAAACTGGCTTATGTGTCTGAGCCAAGTACTTGTGTTTACTCTCTGACATTTGAGACTCCTCTCGTGTGCCATCCCCACTCTCTTTTAGGTAAGATTTAGAAAATCGTTTGTGTGGTGCAGCTGGCATGTTATGCCAACCCCAGAGTGTAAATTTTTAGGTTCTTTGAGTTTGTAACTTAATATAAATGATTATTAAATCTAACATAACATACAGAGTGTATTTTAAATCCCAGTCATTATAACACATAGGTATTTCTCAAATTGTCATTGCTAGTATAGACCCAGGGAGTAGGGTTTTTTGCTTTTTTCCTTGGACTGGTCATAGGAATCAGCCCTGTAATATGTGCTTATTTACTTACATTACAAAAAGGGAGAGCTTGGTTACAATTACTTTCAACAAAGAAATAAGAGGCCTTCTAGCTGATGCTAATAGAAGACTTTTTGATCGGTGGCATTCTCCAGGAACTTCAAATGTGTGAAGTGGAATCTAAGTTTCACTCCAACTCTTGAAAGCAGTAGGGACTATGTACTGTATAGAAACATTGAGTTCTTAAATACACTTGCATGCCACTAAAGGAGCATTTAACTAACAGTACTGTTGGTTTTTACATGGTTTGACTTCCATTCTTCAGTTTATCCGACTCTGACTGAAGCACTACAAAGGAAGTGGGATGAAGCAGAGCAGCTTCTCTATGATGAACTAATAACTGAGCAGGTTTGTTGATTTATTCCAGACAGGTAAAGAACAATTACTGTCAAATAGCGAAACCTGGCTTCTGCCGTTTCTCCTTCTGGGATGGATGCATTTATTCTGCAGTTGACAAATAGTTTTTGTGCTCTGTAACTGCTGTATCAGCTGGTAACTGTAATGTATTTTTTCAATGAAGCTTGAGGAATTAGAATGGCCAATGAAAATTATAAGCAGAGATGGCAGTCAGGTAGATTGATCTATTGTCTTTCGGAAACTTTTCTTTTTTAGGGTTACAAAAAAAGACTGAAAGAAATTTTTGAGGAAGCAGGACTTCTAGAAGCAACAGAAGAAAAGGAAGTTGAGAAACAGAATAAGAAAATAACTCTGGAATTTGAAACAGTGGAGAAGTGCAGTAAGGTACAGAGTGTAGTATTGACAATGTGGAATTAAATTGCCACCTTTTTACTGTCTGACCAGTATCAGTGTGACAGCAGTAGGTAAACACTCTTTGGATTCAGCTGAAATCTGTTCATGAGATTATCTTTTCTGGTTTCAATATATGACAGCCTGCATACAGAGTGATTTCTTTATTCCAGCCCTTAAGTCAAAAACAAGCCAGCACAATCTAATGCCCAATAAGATGAGGGGTGGGAATATGTAGAAATTAGTGTAGGTGTTTGGGTTATGAACACCTTGTGACTACTCTTTCTGGGCAGTATCAGTCTGGAAATTGGAGGTAATTACTAGTGAAGATAAATTTGTAACCAGCCTTGGGAATGTTGATACTTGTCTCTGTGGATAATTACCTAGGCTTGTGTCAGAATGCCTTGGCTGTTACACAAGCAAAAGACAAAGATCTGTGCTGTTTCCATTTCTGAATGACTTTCCTGTGCCTGAACAGTCCTTCTGCAACAGAATTGAAATAGGAAAAATAGAGGTGGATGGTGCTCGGCCTAAAAGTTCAAGCTGAACATCAGAAAAAGAGCATGGAAGGGAAGCAATTCATTATAATGCAGAGAAAAAGCTGCAGTTGTCACTTTATTTGAAAATATAGCAAAGATAAAGCACGACATAGTAATTCCTGAATATGACCAAGTGGACTGTGGTTTAGTGGAATCTACTTACATAAAGATCACCATTTTGGTGTGGTAGCGTTAGGAGTTGGAACATTCACCTTTTTTTTCAATAAAAACAATACTATATTTAATAATTTGTATTTTTTTTGGCTTCATCATAGCTCAACATGAAGTTGGCTGTTTTGATAACCACCGAATCTTAAATCGTTAATCTTTTGCTCTTTCTTGATTCATGTGAAAACCAAACCACAAAAACTGGGGCTTCTTCAAGATTCACAGATACGTAGTTTGACTCTCAAAAGTGCTAAGCAGTCCCTGGTTCTTTAAGTTAACAGAAACTTCTGAAAGCGAGAACATGAAGTTACTAGGTCAAGAGTTGAGGAGGTGCTTAATTTCCAGGCTATAGCATTATGATATACAATAAGGCTGGTCCTGGAGCAAACTTCCAAATGCAATTTTGTGTTGTGATTAAATGCTAGTTAGAGGATAGATCTGAAATAGTTACAGAAAGCACTCCTGACTTTTACTCTCAGGCTTGGAAAAAGCTGGCTCCTGTTTTGGCGTCATAAAAATACATATTTTTATAGAATTTGCATCTTGTTCTTGGAATAAGCAGTTTTTTGTTAAGATCTTTTAAGTCAAAAAAAAAAAAAGGCTGTAACAGCTCTGCACAGACTCGTTATTTTTTATAAACTCCCATTTTATGTATGCATTTGGAGACTGGGAGAGACATTTAAAATGTATTTTCTTTCC